CCCTCAGGCAGATCGACACTTCCACCCAGCTGGGTGGGTTCTTTCATTGTCAGAACACTACTTTGTGAATGGAGCTTAACTAACTACACTGAATCAGTAGTCCTTATCCTAATCGAGTTCCTAGTAATGAGTTCTGATTGAACTCACATGTCATCTTATATTGGAGAAGTAAGAAAAAGATGTCGTACATAGCCTACTTGTTTAAACAAAATGGAATTTATGAGTATGTAATGGCATTGCTTCAACTCTTTGCAAAATTTACTTGCTTTGGGGGAGATTGTCAAATATTCTTTGAATCTTCTTGTCACTTCTTCTTCAATTTCTAATGACAGTATGGTTTTGTTTTATGTGGTTAGTATCTCACCCTGAGCGATAAGGACATCAGGACTGCCTGCGTATTTAGCCTGCATTGCTGTTCTGCAATGGTGACTGGCTTTGCAAAAATACTGCTATTTGTGATTAACTACCCGTGCCTTACTTTAGCCTCAGACAAAGGTGCTATAGTAGGAAATGAACATGAGACAGGTTTTGTTGCATTCATGATCCACATTAGGCAAGATGTACAATTCTTTCTGTTTCATGTGAGTCAAATGATAGTCAAGTGAGATTGTAAAGAAAGAGCTCACTTTGCCTTAATTCACAATTCTCCTTCCCTCCTGATGTAAAGTGTAAGAGACAAGATGTGCACAGTAGAGTTGATCCTGTATTTTGGAGGTAAAGCAGCCAAAACATCAATGGTTAATGTTTAAAAACGCAACTCCCAGGGAAAATAGAGTCTAGCAAGATTATAAATGTAAGTGCATTTTAATGTCTTCATTCTATTAGGGCCTTTCACAATGGATTGGCCACGTTTTTTTGCTTTATGCAGCGTAATGGATTGATTCTTTCTCCTTTGGAATGAAATTTGTTGTGAAAATACTGCTATTCACAGTACTGGTGCTGAAAACTATTGTAGTATTCTACAAAAGTGCTGTGTTTTTTTTTCTTTTTAGTATAGAGGATATAGAAAAGTTGGGGTTTTCTGGCAGTAGTAATTCGTCTTTTTGATTAAATTTTCTTCACTTTCCTCTTTTAGTGGCTTGATATTGAAGGATAGGGAGAGGGAGGGTGTTGCAGCTACAGACCATAGCAAAGTTTGCAGTATACAGATATGCCTATGGACACAGGCTGCACAGTCTGGGTTTGGTCATGCCCCACTCAGTATTGTCATCTCAGCCCACTGTTGCACATGCTCAGCATGGTGACTATCAGTTATTTTGATTCTATATACTCGGAACAGTTGTTTTGCTCATCCCTTCAGGAAATCTTTCTGTGATGTTCCACTTAATATACATTTACTTTACTTACTTTATGCATTATTTACTTTGAGCAACTAAGGAGACACTTTTTGTATGTGCTTCCAAGCACCTAATGATAGCCAAAGGATGAATTCAAGCAGATTAAATAAAAACATTTTGCTATTAAGCACTGTTTCTTTCATCAGAACCATCTAAAGGACCACTCATATGGAGGATCATTGATGCATCTCACTCATCAGCTTCCTGGACTGTGCATCTGATGTGGAAGGTAAAACATGATAAACTGCAGGAATGGAGTATTCCTTAAAAAACATAAATTTTAGTGGTAAAATTTACGTTGGCGAGCCTTGAGTAGATAGCTGGGATAGATCTGGTTTTATTGATATGATAAATGACTAGTATTTTTCTTATAATAATTAGAGACATTCCAGCTGCCAAACTTCAGTAAATACAGCACCGAATGCTTGCTTGGAGTAGGCTGTTGTGTCTAGTTTGCTGGTCCAAAATTGGGAAAGTGAATGCACTTCTGGATCAGTCTCCATACCCTGCTTTCTTTTGGTCTGTGAGCTTTGTCACATTTGATCCAGCTGACTTTTTATTATTACTTTTTGCTGTTTACTAGGTGGCTTGTGTGAAGTCGTGTATACTGATACGGCATCATTTTCTGATAGAACTCCAGCCACATGTCATTTCTCACATTATTTAGCTTAGAATTGGAAAATTGGTGCTACTTTACAGTTGCAATAATTTTCTCCTAAGTTATCTGAAGACTGTTACACAGAAACATAATATTTTTTATGTTATTAAATAACAGAGAAACAATTATTCGTCCATGTAATAAAACTAATCTAGGTGTTTTGCATTTGAGTTCAACACAGCTTAAGACATGAGATTCATTTCATGTCATTGTGTTATAAAGCCACGTAAAATGGAGGTTTTAGCAACATGTTCTGCAATCTATACAGAATAGCTTTTTTTAAAATGCTAGGTAGGATTGTGAGCCAAGTATTTAAAACAGAAATAATTTTGAAAGTTAACAGCTTTACAGAAATGAACACAGATTATTTGTGCTTTCTTTAAATATGCAGCATAACTTGTCTTGCTTTCAAATTTTTAAATTATGCATCAAAGACAATAAAGATTAATTCATGGTTTATTCAGTATCACTATAATAAAACTGTGTTTCTAACAGGCATTGGAGCCATCTGAAGCCAATGGAGTAATCTTGCAGTATGAAGTGACTGTTAGACCTAAATCATCTCTCTCCAGTCCACTAGAGAAATATAGTGTTAATACTACCAACCTTACATTAAAGCTACCAAATGGAACTTATGAAGTGTCTGTGATTGCCCGTAACAGAGAAGGGGCATCCCCTCCATCAGTTTTGCTTATCCCAGCAAGTAATTCAAAAGGTTAGTGCCCTAGTAATGTCTCTTTCAAATACATCTGCATGGCTTTTATTACAAGAAATCTTCAGTCACCATTACAATAACCTAAAAGTATCCACATTTAACAAAATACTATTATTTTTAATATCTAGTGGAAAAACTGTCATCATTTATCACTTTTTTCTTTCATGACAGCTCCTGTGAAGAATCTTCGAGCACTACCTAAAGATGGAAAGTTGTGGGTAGAGTGGACTGCTCCCAACAGTTATGTTCTTAAATATGTGATTGAATGGTGTCTTCTGTCCAACAGCTCAGACTGCATCATAGAATGGCAAAGCGAACCAGGGAGTGTTCAAGAAACATATTTAAAAGGTATTTAACTAATAAATACTTTGTAGAAATACTTTGTAGAACTCTAAAAACGAGTAAGTATTCTCAAAGTGAGTAACGTCCTCATGTTGCCTAGAATTTTATTGTAGAACAGGAATCTGGAATAATACTGGTGCCTTATCTTAGTTTGTCATGAGTGGGGAAGTATCTGTATATTTTTGTCAAGTATAAAACTCCATCTGATCTTGCATTTTGAAATTTATGTAACAGCAAGGATTTTACCTGCATTTTGGATTTAGTCTTCTCATTCCTGGAAACCACAGAAATAGTGAAAAGTCTGACTTACTTCAAAATCAAATTCTCTGATTCCTATTTCAGTTCAAACAATGAAACCTGATCAGAATTACAGATATTTACAGGTTATGGTCAGTAGCTTAAATCAGTAATTTTGAAGGTCTGCAGGCAAATAAGGTCTTTTTATTTAAAATAAACAGACTTTAGAAGTACGAAATTTTCTAATTTATTAAATTTAACATTTGAATCTGTGAAGCATTGTATTGTTCATTTGGTTAATATTTTGGACCAGTATATCAATAGCTGTAGAAGAAAAGAGCTGCATTAGATCGAAGTGCATCTAATAAAACATCTAAATCCCAGGATGATTTATCTGAAGTAAATTTGTCTGAAGTAAATGGTGATGAATTTGACTGCCTGTGAAACAACACATCTTAAATTCCTTTCATTAGGTGATATAAAGCCGTTTAAGTGTTACTTAATAACTGTGTACCCTCTATATGATGATGGTCAGGGAAGTGGACTCTCTGTGAATTTTTTTTAGGATCGTAAGTACAAAATAGTCATCTTCTAGCACATCAATTGACTTTCTTGACTATAAATGAGACCTTTCCTTTAATGTGGACTATGTAATGGAAAGTAGCCCTACATTTAAGATTGATCATGTCAGATGACCCTTATCCATTCTGTTAACATCCATAGTGTTTATTTAAAGTATTTATAGAATCACATAATGTGTTGGGTTGGGGGAGGCCTTTAAAGGTCATAGAGTCTGACCTGCCCCTGCAGTGAGAAGGGACATCTTTAACCGGATCAGGTTGCTCAGAGCCCCATCAAGCCTGACCTTGAATGTCTCCAGCAATGGGGCCTCCACCAACTCTCTGGGCAACCTGTGCCAGTGTTTCACCAGCCTCACGCTAAAGAACTTCCTCCTAATGTCTAATCTAAATCTACCCTCCTCTAGTTTAAAACTGTTGCCCCTCATCCTATTGCTATAGACCTCTGTAAACAGTTCCTCCCCAGCTCTTCTGTAGGCCTCCTTCAGGAACTAGAAGGCTGCTCTTAAGTTGTCCCCAGAGCCTTCTCTTCTCCAGGCTGAACAACCCCAACTCTCTCAGCCTGTGCTCACAGGAGAGGTGCTCCAGCCCTCTGATCATTTTTGTGGTCCTCCTCTGGATCTGATCCAACAGGTCCACATCCTTCTTGTGTTGAGGGCTCCGGAGCAGCACTGCAGGTGAGGTCTCACCAGAGCAAAGCAGAGAGGCAGAATCACCTCCCTCAATCTGCCAGCCACGCTGCTTTTGATGCAGCTTACGATGCAATTGACCTTCTGGGCTGCAAGCATATATTGCTGGCTCATGTCCTGCTTTTCATCCACCAATACCCTCAAGCCCTTTTCCTCAGGACTGCTCTCTAGCACATCGTCCCTCAGTCTGCAGCCTGGTAATTAGGATTGCCCCGATCCAGATGCAGGACCTTGCACCTGACCTTGTTGAACCTCATGAGGTTTTACATGGGCCCACTTGTTCAGCTTGTCCAGGTCCCTTGAGGACATCTTGTTCCACTGTCATGTTGACTGCACCACTCAGCCTGGTGTCTTCTGCAAGTTTGCTGAGGGTGCACTTAATCCCACTGTCTATGTCACTGATGGTCCCAGCACAGACCCCTGAAGGACACCACCTGACACCCGTGTCCGTCTAGAGATTGAGCCATTGACCACTACCCTCTGTATGCAACCATCCAAGTGATTCTTCATCCACCTAACAGTCCACCCATCACGTCTGTATCTGTGCAGCTTAGGAAGAAGGATGTTGTGGGGGAATGTGTCAAAGGCCTTGCAGAAGTCCAGATAGTTGACATCCATTTCTCTTTCCTTGTCCACTGATGTAGTCACTCCATTGAAGAAAGCCAATAGTTTGGTCAGACAGGACTTGCCCTTGGTGAAGCTATGCTGGCTGTCTCTAATTTAGGAGTTAAACAGATGTCTGTAGCTTAGTCTTCCCTTTTTTCCAACCTTTATCACATTGTTTGGCATGAGTTTATTTAATTGATGTAGTAATATTTCTATGCTGATTTATTTTACATTTGAAGTATAACTTCAGTTGAAGATTTCATGTGATCTGTTGATTACTGCTTTCATATCTTTTTTTGTCTTAAGGTTTTTCTTTTAAAACAACTTTGAAGTTGCTCTGTTTTCTGAAAATAGTGCTTTGCCGATGAGTTAGTTCAGCTACTCCATTGAAGGTTTTATGCAGTAGCAATTCAGTGCTTATTAGTACACTGCTTCTGTGGATGTTAGGGTACCCAACAGAAACTAATCTTCATTGTCTGTTCCAGGTCCTTCAAAAGGACCAACTGTTCAGACAAAGAAAGTAGGAAAAGCTGAAGCTGTTTTGACATGGAACCATCTCACAGTGGATGAACAAAATGGATTTATCAGAAGTTACGTCATACTTTACAAAACTATTGATGGAAGTGAAACAGGTAACAGAAAGAGAACTTATATGTGACGTTGAAGTTTTCTATCTGTCTCCTTCCTAATACATGTTCCTGAGGAAAAAAAAAGGTAGTCGAGTGCTTCTTACAGCCTGTTCTGATGACATAAAGCTGGTGTCTGAACCCTAGCTCTCCTCCATACTGAGCAGAAATGTCCCTAATGAAGAATTTGGAAGACTCAGTCTGTGTATAACAGGATATTGAGTTTAGTTTCTGGAAGATGGTTTGTGAGTGTTGTGCTCCCATCTTTCTAATTACAGGATGAGGTGGTGGTACAGCAAAATGAAGCTAGACCGTTCAAGATGTCAGTGAGTTGACTGGATTTAATCATGATAAAGCCTTGCAAAAAACCCAGCAAACAGGAGGGGAAATTTTAAATCCTTCTGGAGCTCTTTTCAATGTGTTACTGATGTAAAACATTTTCTTTACGGAAGTAAAACATATTTGAAGTGCATTTTAGGTCCAAGTAGTATGTATAACCTGCAGACATAAGTCGAGGAGGTAGCACTATCAAAAGTTTTCCTTTTTTAGACTTACTTAAATTGGAAGGGCCGATTATTTATTTGTACCTACTTATTATTTCTAGTAAGTAGCTAGCTATTTCTAGTTAGCCGTGTATTCTGCTAAACAGAGACCTTTAATCCTAAACTTAGCTAATAATTTAGTTTGTAGCTGCATTCTGAGGGGAAAAAAGTCAGGAAATTAACATAAAATATCATCAAGAAAGAGACTAAATTCAAATACTTGAACAGAAACAAGCCAATCTCAGTATTTCTTTACAAATTTGTAGTCTTTCTGTGTCAGTTTAAATAGACTGCATGGCTTTATAGAAAATACAACAATTTCGTACACCTGAAGACATGATGTCCTATTGCTACTGTGTTTATGAAGATCTAATCAATTGTACACAAAACTAGTATAATTTTTTTCCTCTCTTAAGCTGTGACAGTGGATCCTTCCAAGACAGAGTATACTCTTTCTTCTCTAACCAGTGACACTCTGTATACTGTGCGGATGATGGCATACACTGATGAAGGAGGCCGGAGTGGTCCTGATTTTACATTTACTACACAAAAATTTGGTAAGGAGTAGTGGCACAATTAGACGTAGGAAGTAATGTTAATTTTTATTCTGCTGGTATGGATGTCTTGAAGCTACAGAGGTGTGCTGAGATCTTGATCTGCTAATCAGGGTGCCAGCCAGCAAATGCTGTTCTTGCAACCTTTCCTCAGGTTCTGCATTCTCATTCGTATCACTGTTAAAACTTGCTAGAGTTCTCTACAGAGACTCATTCTGAAGAGTAAAATTTATTTTATATTCAGCTTTAGAGAGTACTTCCAATTTGTAATGGCAAGAGCAACAACATTAGCTAAACTCAGTTGTGGAAAGCACTTCATCAGATTTAGCAGGCTTTTTTTTTTTCCTGTATGTGTTGGGTTTGTATGGCAAGATGTTGGGTTTGTATGGTGAGGTGTTGGTATGGCAGGGGGAGGGACTGCGGGGATGATTCCTGTGAGAAACTGCTAGAAGCTTCCTCAGCTCTGAGGAACTGCCTCTGGACAAGACCAAGCCAGTCAGTGACAGTGAAAGTGCTTCTGTGATAAGATACGCAAGAGGGGAAAAACCTGTAGCAATGAGGAAAGGAGTGGCATATGAGAGAAACCTGCTCAGGCAAGGCAGGTAAGAACGGGAGAGGAGTTGTGCCAGAGAAGAAATTCCACTGCTGCCTGTGGTGAGACAGCATGCAGCTTATGGAGATAAACAGTGGAGCAGCATCCCACCTGCAGCCTGTGGAGGACCCCATGCCAGAGTGCATGACTGCACCCAAAGAAGGCTGTGACTCCTGGGGAAGTCCACACTGGGGCAGTCTGTTTCTGAAAGGAGTGCACTGTGTGGAAGGGACCCACACTGGAGCAGCTAATGAGGAATTGCAGCCTGTGGGAAGGACTCAGACTGGAGAAGCTCATGGAGGACTGTCTCCCATGGGAGGGACCCCACACTGGAGCTAGGGAAGGCGGTGAGGAGTCCTCCCCTTGAGGAGGAAGGAGCAGTATAGACAATATCTAATGAACTGGCTGCAGCCCTCATTCCCCATCACCCTGTTCTGCTGTGGGGGGTGGAGTGAAGTTGAGTCCAGGGTAGGGCAAAGAGTTTTTTTAAGATTTGCTGTTATTTCTTATTATCCTACTCTCATTATTTGTAAATTGATTCTTTTTCCCCAAGTTGACCTTGTTTTGTCTGTGATAGTAATTGGTGAGTGGTCTCCCACTGACCTTGCCTTGACCCACGAGACTTTCACTGTATTTTTTCCTTGCCATCCCATCAGGGGAGAGGAGCAAGTGAGCAGCTATATCCTGCTTTGTTGCCATCTGGGCTTACATCATGACACCGAAGCATTCTGTAAGGTTTACTTGTCATCAGAAAAAATACAAAGTAATGCATCATTAAGTGTTTGGAGGCAGAGGATATTTTTGTGTTCAGAATAAACTTTTGAATAGGGACTTTGCTTACATTATGTAATTGACCATAATGTTGTTATGCCAGCCAGTAGGCCACTGAAAAACCTAGACCACAGATAAATTTGCATAGATGTTACTGTCATAGCTGCCCAAACTGTAAAAATACTTGTTCTGTCAGTATTGCAGCTTCTAAAGCAACCTTTGTTTTTTGTTGTTGCAGGACATTAAATTGTTGGGACAGAGCTTCTCATGTTTTCACTAATAGGCTCTTTTTATCTGGTGAAAAGGTTCTTCTGAAGGTGAAGCACTAATTAGTGCTGTGGGTTTATTCAGATTCTTCCTGTCCTTTGGGGAATGTATGCTGCTGCTCTGCTCTTACATGCTGAAGTGGGCTGTAACTGCTTCTCTTAATTTTCTTCAGGGAAAGGAGAAATTGAAGCTATAGTTGTACCTGTGTGTCTAGCATTCCTGTTGGTTGTGCTCCTTGGAGTTTTGTTTTGCTTCAACAAACGTGACTTGTAAGTATAAATGAAGTCTTTCTCTTATGCCTCTGATATTTCTGGGCATAACAGAGAGGGCAATAATTCAATACAAACAAGTAAATATTCTGCAGTTAGATCAGAAAAAGAAGGTAAAACATGCATACATTGATTGGTTATAAACGTTTTTGTCTTTTCCTTGGAAAATCGAGTCTGTAACTCAATCCTGCAAGGAAATTCTCTTTTGTTTTTTTGTTAGTTGTCTAGGATTAGGTTTGTTAGGTTTTGATCAGGATATGCTGTCTGTTATTTTCTTAGTCATCATATGAGTGGAATGATGGTCCCTAGTTTGTGAAGCACAGATGACCTGTTTGCTGTCTGTATTTGAGCTATTTGCTTACAGCGTTAGTAAACTTCACAATTCGTAACTGAAAAAAAAAAATAGGCGACATGTTACTTACCTACCCTGCATAACCTCAGTGGTTTACTATCTGTTTACTGTCTGCTTGGAAACATCCTGCCTCCTCCTGCTCCATCTACCCCAGAGCTCTTGTCCCTGAGTTTAGCTGAGGGCTTACTGCTGAAATGTTCTCCCTGTCAAGGAGTAGCACATCTCCGATGTCGCCAGTCAACTTTTTTTTTTTTTTTTTTTCCCTAAAGGCAGCATTTTGTGACCTTTTGCTTCTGAACTCTCTGCTGCTCCTAAAATCAGTTCTTAATGATGTCAGTTGAAAAGCCCATCTATGTTCTTCAGAGTTCTACAGAGGATCTATTTTTAGAGGTTAATTATAAGGAGCAGGATAGATGCATCGGTTTCAGTTATTTTAGTTGGGAGTGATTTATCTACAGAAGCTTCTATGGTTAAATAACAGTTACTACATTCTTGAGAGTGCTGAGTTGCAAAAGACCAAGTAAGTTTTTCTTCAAATATTTTCACTTTATTTTAGCTGTGAAGTTGGCTTAGATTCACAGCTGCGATATTCATAGTTATCTTAAAGAAGCAAGATTGTATATTTATACTGATGTATATTATGTACTTTACCTAAATAATTGCTTTGTGGATTCTAGAGTGCCATAAATTTGAAAATCATAGAATCATAGAATGGCCTAGATCCCTCACTGTTACCATTTGTTGGTTTGCCTTATGAGGGATGGCTACATCTAACGTGTGGAAGAGTTTTAAGTGCAGTGCTGTGTTTTGCTAAGTAGTACAGCTTCCAACAAATATGTGAAGAAGTGCAGGAAGCATTCCTATTTGGAAATAAATACTCTTGCAAAATTGCCATGTAAGGGTGTCCTGGATCATGCAGTATGTGCTATCAATGTGAAAATTTAGGTAGTGCATCCTATAATTTTATACTTTCTTTTATCCTTTGCAGAATTAAAAAGCATATCTGGCCTATTGTTCCAGATCCATCCAAGAGTAACATTGCTCAGTGGTCTCCTCAAGTTCCAGCTAAGGTAATATTCATCTTTTTGCATCCTGTATCTTCCTAGTAAATATCTTTTCGGTGGTGCCTGGCAATAGAATGATGGTTTTAAGTCAGAACATAAGAAGTTCCACCTCTCCATGAGGAGAAACTTTACTGTGAGGATGACAAGAGCACTGGAACCAGCTGCCCAGGCAGGTTATGGAGTCTCTTTCTCTGGAGACTTTCAAAACCCACCTGGACATGTGCCTGTGTGGCTGCCCTAGGGGATCCTGCTCTGGCAGGGGGGTTGGACTAGATGATCTTTCGAGGTCCCTTCCAACCCCTGACATTCAATGATTCTAGTCCACAAGTTTTCAAATAAACTAACCAATGGGAGTCTTCTATCTTCTAGCACACACAGATTTAAAGGCAAAAAGTAGATGCTAAGTTTCATAACATTGTGATACTATATGTTTAGAAGACTTTATTGCATGAATACATTTAGCATTAGAAATATGTGGCCCTTATAATGAGTTTACAACATAGAGAAGGCTTTAACACTGTGATTTGTATTCAATTTACTAGTTGGAAGGGTAAAGTCCTTGAGAGACCCTTTAGAGGCCACTTATACAAACTTTAGAGACCTCTTGGCTAAACTGAACATCCATAAATCCATGGGCACTCATGGGATGCACCCACAAGTGCTGAGGGAGCTGACAGATGTTATTGATATGCCACTGTCCATCAGCTTTGAAAGGTCATGGAGAACAGGAGAGGTGTGTGAGGACTAGAGAAAAGCCACTGCCACTCCAGTCTTCAAAAAGGGCAAGAGGAGTGACCCAGGAAACTGGATTGGTTAATCTCACCTCTATCCTTGGAAAGGTGGTGGAACAAATCATTCTACATGTCCTCTCAAAACATGTGAAAGAAAAGAAAGTTACTGGGAGAGGTCAGCATGGATTCACTAAGGGAGAATCATATTTGACCAACCTGATAGCCTTCTGTGATGCCATAACTGGCTGGTTAGATGAAGGGAGAGCAGCAAATGTCATCTACCTTGACACTATCTCTCATAACATTCTCATTGGGAAACTCAGGGAGAGTGAGTTAGGTGAGTGGACGGTGAGGTAGATTGAGAACTGGTTGAGTGACAGAGCTCAGAGGGTTGTGATCAATGGAGCAGGGTTGAGTTGGAGGCCTCTAACCAGCGGTGTTCCCCAGGAGTCAGTACTGGATCCAGTCTTACTCAACATGTTCATCAGTGACCTAGATGAGGGGACAAAGTATCCTCAGCAAGCTTGCCGCCGATACAACACTGGGAGGTGTGACTGACACACCAGAGGGCGATGCTGACACCCAGTGTGAACTGGACAGGCTGGAGTGCTGGGCAGAGGGGAACCTAATGAGGTTCAACAAGGGCAAATGTGGGGTCCTGCACCTGGGGAGGAACTACCCCATGCATCAAGGGTAGACCTGCTGGAAGGCAGCCCGAAGGAGAAGGATCTTGGAGCCCTGGTAGACAGTAAGTTAACCATGAGCCAGCAATGTGCCCTTATTGCCAGGAAGACCAATGGTATCCTGGGCTGCATTAAGAAGAGTGTGGACAGTAGGTCAAGGGAGGTCAGCCTCCTCCTCTGCTTCACCCTGGTGAGGCCACATCTGCAATATCGTGTCCAGTTCTGGGCTCCCCAGTTCCAGAGATAGAAAACTACTGGTAAGAGCATCCAGCAGAGGGCACTGAAGATGATTGGGGAACTGGAGCATCTCTCTTGTGAGGAAGGGTTGAGAGAGCTGGGACTGTTTAGCCTGGAGAGGACTGAGAGCAGGCCTTATCAATGTCTGTCAATATATAAAGGGTGGGTGCAGGAGGATGGAGCCGAACTCCTTTTAGTAGTGCCCAGTGACAGGACAAGAGGGAACAAGCACAAGCTGGAACACAGGAAGTTTCATCTAAACATGAGGAAGAACTTTTTTCCTGAACCAGGCTGCACCAGGGTCATCTAAACATGAGGAAGAACTTCTTTACTGAACCAGGCTGCCCAGGGAGGTTGTGGAATCACCTTCCCTGGAGACATTCAGAACTCACCTGGATGCAATCCTATGCGATGTACTCTAGGCAACCCCGTGCTGGTATGGGGGTTGGACTAGATGATCTCTAGAGATCCCTTCTAACTCCAACAGTTCTGTGATTCGGTGAAGTCCTGGCTATTTTGGTCATTCAGGGGATTAAGCAAATTGAATTCATGGTTCCCATTCTTAAACCACTGAAGTGTTGTGCTTTCACAGTTAAGGTATGAATGAGAGAGAAAGATCTAAGTATTCCTCATGGATGAGATGACAACAGAATTTATGCTTCACGTGGGGTGGACAACATAGCAAATTCTGTTCAATAACCTCTGGCTAACTTCTATGAAGTGATGTGAGGTTATGGCTCCCAATACAGAATGTTCCTGTGCTGCACAGCTAACGATTCTGTTTATGGCCCTTAAGAATAATTAAGATTGAAACAAAGTTTGCACACTTATTATGGCTTTAGCATAGCTGCATAATCAATACTTTGTCTTGGAAACAAAGCTACATCCTTAATTTTGGCACAGATACTTTGGAGATACTGCCGAACTTAGTAAGGAGAAAAATTATGTGAAGAAACTTGAAACAATTACAAAATAGAAGCTCAGGTATTTAGTGGGGGCTTTGATTTTAATGTATAATCTTCCTCTTAGGCAACATCCATCTCTTTCTTTCAGCATAACTTTAGTTCTAAAGATGATCACATGTACCCAGAAGGCAGCTTTACAGATGTAAGCGTCGTAGAAATAGAAGCGGATGACAAGAAGTCTTTTTCAGAACAAGATCTAAAACCCTTTGACTTACTTAAAAAGGAAAAAAGTACTTCAGAAGGGCACAGCAGTGGCATTGGAGGATCCTCCTGCATGTCTTCTCCTAGGCAAAGTGTCTCAGACAGTGATGAAGGTGAAACTACACAAAATACTTCAAGCACTGTACAGTATTCAACAGTAGTACTTAATGGCTACAGAGACCAAACACCTGTACAAGTCTTTTCAAGATCTGAGTCAACTCAGCCGCTGCTAGATTCAGAAGAGAGATCAGAGGATCATTCTGGAGGAGGTGACAGTTCAGCACTCAGGCAACAGTATTTCAAACAAAATGGTGGTCAAGATGAAGCCGACACAGACAGGCCATGCTTTGAAAGAACAAAGCAAATTACTTCTGTTGATGAGGAGGATCTTGTTGGATTTGCACAACTGCAGATCTTAGGTCAGAGTTCGCAGCTGTTGGGCCTTGAGCTGGAAAAAAACATCCGGGAAGCTGCTCTGCCAGATATTTTGCAGACAAATACTGAAGGACAGACTGTGAGACCTGAAGCAGTGGGAGGAAATCCACTATTAGTTGATGAAATGCCAAAAAGTTACCTCCCACAGACTGTGAGACAAGGGGGCTATATGCCTCAGTGAGAGAAGGGACTGGCTCTGTTTAGGTCTTCATTTAGTGCCTGTTCACAGTTTCTCCTGTGTTTCTGATAAATTAAGCTAGGTATTTTTATCTGAATGCAGGTAGAAATACTGAAATTAAGTGAAGAGTAATTTGACAAAGTACAATAAGGACTGTGTTTCCGTGGAAAACTTGCAGTCCAGACCTACTGGAGAATTACCTTTATGCACTACATAAAATCTTATGTCTGGATAGCTGAAAAAGCCTTTGTGCTGCCTTGGGGATTTTGTGTCTTGCCATATCAGATGTACACATGATTGAAAATGGCAAGTTTCAATTAATCACATCGGCCAACAGACCTTGTAGTAGAAATACTTTGATTTTTGACACTGTACAAATCTAAAAAGCCAGCTTTAGTTGCTTGGAGCATCTTTGTGCAAAAGTAAGACTGAAGCTTAGTATTATAACGGGGAAGAGTACTTGTGTCATATACTTTTCAAAAGCTTGATTGACTTTCTGAATTTTGATTTGGCCCAGTGTCTCAGTTTCCAGCTTAGCAGACATACAAATTATGTTCATCTCCTTCAAAAATGATGAAAATTAAATAGAACTTGCTACGATGTGCAATTAAGAAAACAATGATTGCTTGACTCTGCTACTATAGTAATTGATATTCTGCCTACATTTAGATATGCATGCACATGAACTGTATAATAATTTGGCCTAAATATGTGCCTTGCAACTTGATGAACAGCGAAACAGTCTCACGTTCAAATGCATAATAAAAGCGGAAACACAAATTAACTTACTTAAAGATTCTGTACCGAAATGACTGATTATACCAGAGCTCTGGTCATATAAATTGCCTTTGTTTAATATGTGCACCTTTACTGTACACAGCTTGAGAGGCAAGGAGCGAGCTGTAAGTTTTTATGATTTTTCTGTCCTATACCCTAAATTTGAAGATTACTGGTAGTATATATGTATTAGCAATCATGAGCCATAAATAACATGTGATTGTTAAAATTTTTTACTTTTTTTCTTATGTCTCACTTCCCTGTTCATAGAGTTTGCATTTTACCAAAGAAGATACATTTCTTGGAGACTGTCTCTGCCAGGGTTTTAAAGAAACAATGCAATTGCATTAAAATAAGCCCCTTCTCCAATGATAACTAGAAATTCTATGGCACTCTTGTAGGTGATTTTTTTTTTTTTTAAAGGTAGTCTAGTCAGCTTTCTAATTTGACACTGCAAACATTAATTCAAAACACTAAACGCTGTGCTGCAAAAGTAAAAGAAGGAGTTTATTTCTCCTTCAGCAGAAGAGCTACATATTTAAGGCTACCTGAAACCTTTTGTGCTGTGACCTCTGGTGCTGCTGTTGTGCGAAGCACTTGCTAAAGGTTCTGTAAAGGCAGGTGTCAGTATCCTGTGTCTGTTGGGATATCAAGTGTCAATTTCTCTTGTCCTTTTCTGCCAGCTTACATTGAAAGACAAGTATACATATAAATTCACATGTCTTAGCTTTTGTTACAAAGAAATTCAATGCTAGAGTAAATCCATAAGATTACCTCTTGAATCTGTATTCTTTATCTGTTTTAAATAGGACAGAGTCTTTAATAACATTTCAGTATTCCACACTTCCTTTCGTACAACAGTATTTTTCTTTATCTGGACACTTTCTTTTAAACTAAAAGTCTGTGTTGCAGCTTACTGTAACTACACCTTTTTTCAAACCAGTCCCCTCCTTTTTTTCTGTGCTCCCCAGCACCTTAAAAATCCCTCACAGAGGGCAAGGGCATAATGAAAATCGTGCTGTCGTGAGACAGAAGACTGTCTTTTGGTGTTTTTTTCAGAGGTTGAAGGAGCATTCCTTTGTCAAAATACATTCCTCTTAGAAAATAACAGCAGTTACTTTACTAGGGGACGGGCTGTCTTCTCTATGCAAAATTCCTACTGACTGTAGAAACAAGTAAAAAGGAAAATCTGTTGAGCAGTGTGTGTGCTTATTAGAGCTGCCCTGTAGCCACGTACATTTAATTCACCTCCTGCTCATCTCTGAAATATTGTGGTCTACAACTGCGCTGCTTAATCTGAGCATTGCTTCAAAGGCCTGGATGATTTCAGAAACTTGCTGATGGTTTCTTTCTTTTTTTTTTTATTTTTATAGTTTTTTGTCATTCAGTGATACTAACTTTTGAAAGCATATGTCATATTCGAGGGATGACTTCAGTTGTTCCTGAAGTTGCTATTCACCTTTCTGCTGTTTAAAGGGAAGGCATTTTGTTCTCAGTTGCTGTTGCTCATGAGCTATTTCCAACATTAAACAAACAACATCAAGAGATTCTCACTGTTAAAAGTCTCTGCTAACAGTTCTGGCATGCCCCTCCTGGCATCTATCTTTGTTGTTTATGGGCAAGTGGTAATAAATGCCTACAGGAGTGTACTCTAGAGATAATTCTGTCTGTCTGGCAGAGGTATATTCTATCTTCCAGGCTTGTGCTACTATCTAGGGCTAAAATACTGATGACTAAGCGTAGATACTCATGGGTGAATAGAAGCCACAATATGTATAAATAAGTTTTACAGCTTGTTCATAAACTGATGTGCCAAATTATTTCATGCAGTATTCAGGCTTTAACTTCATTTTGTTCTTGGAACGTAACAATCTAATAACAGTTGTGTACAGGTTTTTCGAGTGTGTATAATGTAGTTGTAACAATCCACTGAAATTCTCTGAACTTGGCCCTAACATAGCAATTAAGCAAAAAGCTTTCTCCCTGCCCCCACCAATAACTATGGTGCACTTTGCAAAATAAAGGCATTGTTAAAATCAAATCACACTTTCAGTATTGACACTTCCATGTCCATCTTGATTTCCTGGGCTGAAATTTTTCGGGTAGGGATGGGAGAATAGTTGTAAAACTACTGTTACAGGAAATTCTCTGCTACCAAAGTATTAGTGTGTTTGAAGCATCTCTTAAGTGCAGGCTGGCTAACTGTTCCTCTGTCTACAGGAGAAGTGCATGCGTTTATCTCCATAGTTCCGTTAGAACAGGAAGTTTTGGTGTTGTTTCTGGGGTGTGCAGGATTGTTTTCAGGCAGTTAGTCTGGGAATATCCTCTCTCACTGTAGTGAAAGTCTTGGTATTATGTTTTATATGCTCTAGTGCAGTAAACTAAACTGCTTGTTAAGCCTTAATCTGGCAGTGCAAAGCATAGCAGAGCAAAAAAGTATTCTAAACTTTGTTCTGGAGTGTTGGTGACAAGCATATGCATAGCTGTGTTATAGCAGGACAGCAAAATGCTAGTTTTCAGGACTGCAAAAAACTCTGGCCCTGCGAGTCCTGTTCTTGGCCAGTGGAGAAGCACTGTGGCCTGGGGTAGGGTCAGCTTAGACTGTAAATCATAAGCACCACCAAATGGTTTAAATTTAAATCAATGTGTCCAATATGTAGGATTGACCATGCTGATTTAACTTCACTAATTGAGTTTGTTCAGTTAGTGCCGGATCTTGAATATCCAAGACTTATATTAATATATGCTGCTGTGGTATTGACTTCACAGTGGGATCTGAAACTCCAAAGAGTCTCAAATTGTTGGTAGTCAGCCCTGCTCTAGGACATACATGTTCTAAGTTGTAATTTATGTGCATTAAATGAGACTAATTACACTAGTTTATTCTCCCGGAGACAGTTGTTGTAATTGAGATTAACTGTTGTTTGGATGTGTTCTTTTAACTGTGTTTAAAAGTTGTTGTGACTGATGCTTTGTAAAACTTCATTAATTCTCTATAACCTCTTGTCTGTTTGCTAGGATGGATACATATAGCCATTTTAAATTTTAAGAGTTGTTTTAGTGTTATTTGGAAGCAGTTAATAACAAAAATATTGAGTCTTCTGTAATGAAACAGCCATTTCGAAATTACACCCAATGCCACAGTCCTCAGCTTAGCTCTCGGTCCAGAAAACTGCAGTAAAGTAGAGGTGTAAGTACGACAGTCCGCAGAAGGTAAAATTAACTATCTTACATTAGAGTCAAAAATTCCCATTTCTGTTCCTTGAAAGTGAAAGGATGTTGTGGTTTTTTTAAAGAAGCTAAAACACATATGTATATTTGCTTTGGCTGTTGTTTCTTTTGTAGTACTTGTGCAATCTGAGCCATTGCTAAAAATTAAAGCAGTGCTGACTTAATACACAAGGACACGTTTTTAAGGCCACAAGATTTGGTACAAACAAATTTAGAAGTAATGACTAAGATCCAGATTACAACAATTCTGCACTTCCTCCCCCTCTTAATTTTACTGCAGAGAGAGGGCAGGCAGTAAGTACCTTCCAGAATGCAGCCTTAGCCAGTACCTGTGGTTATTTGCAAAGACAACCTTGAAGGGGATATACGCAATAAAGACATTGATACTCTGCAGAAGCACACTTCTGTGACAGTAGATTAAAAACATGTATGGCACAACTGTCGACAGATGGCTGGAGAGCTCCACGTCCTGCTGCTCAGACTGAAGCATCTCCTGCACCCTGCACCGACTGTTCTCCCACGACGATTGCAGGCACGGTAGATGAGCATTCTCTTCTGCAGTGCTGAAGCTGGTAACGCCTTTCGCTTTTCTTCGTATCAAAGCACATTCATTAATGGATCTTGTCAACTTGCCATGTTTTTTTAATGCACCAGTCTTGTTTACAGTGTCACGTACAGCCTGACACTTTGATACAGCGATGGATTGTCTAGTAACCACGTGCTTTTATTTGGGGATAAAGAATCTATGGTCAAGGTTACTGGTCACCAAATGCTGCTGTGCCGATACACGTGGAGGCCTGGGGCACAGGGACACATGTTGTAACAAAGTGCCTTGATGCTGGATTGGATGGCTAGTGAATGTAAACATTAAGTTGAATTTAGAGTTGATCTAATTCATCTTAATGTAAACATGTTATTCAACTTAATGTAAACATGATGTAATTCAACTTAATTTAAACATTAAGTTGAATTTAGATTTGTACTTAGAGTAAATATGGCTGTCAAAGCTACTGGTAATCTGAATGCCGGCTTTAAAGGGCTTGCATACTGTGGCCCAAGTTTAAACTTGTAAATTGCTGCATAAGCTCTCTCTCTATGGAAATGTGTTTTAATACAGTACACTATCTTCATTCTTCAGCAAGCTGCATGTTTATTGTCATATAAACTCTGCTTTCTATAATTTACTTTATTGTTGGTTTTGAATGTCTTCCTCTTTGTTACCAACTGAGCCTGAATGTTGCATTAGTCTAGTACATAATATATGCAAAGAAAACAAAATTCCATATGTATCCTGTGTGCTGGAGTCTGTGTTTTGTAAGGCTGACCTAAGTAGTAACCACAGAAGAAATAGAGTCTGGGCAATACCTAATAGAAACTGAGAGACACTCCCAGAGAGAGATGT